CCTCTCGTCCGAGAAAGCGTTTTGTTATAAACATCAAAGGAGCCAAAATCATTACATTGGTACAGAAGTTTGTGGACCATGCACACATCAAACACCTTGCGCCGCGATTCCAACGTTGAGAGTTCAAGATATCTGTTACGAATGCAGGCTCTTGGAATATGAGAATAGAAGAAGCATCTACATCGGAAAAAAATTTTACGCGTGAGGTTATTCTGTACTTTTTCAAAGGACGTCCTTCCTACGGTTGGGATGGAACACTTTGGCACCACTCTCAATCAGAGGACGAACATATGTCTTATAAGCTTTGAGAAGGATTGATTTGTTCGTGGTAGACAGTCCTTTGAAAATGTGCGACGTGCGCAGTAATACTAGCTTACACCGAGCGCGAATGTGCGTGGAAAAGTCGAGAGCGGTGGTGTAGAGAAAGCCTCGATCCCTTACACAGTTTACTCGGGAAATGGTAATCCCATCCATGGTATAAGAGCAGGAGGGGGGCAAGATTGTTGCCGATCGTCATACACATCGTTTTATGCGGGGCCAGGGGGAGCTGCCCTACGCCAAGAGATGAAAGACCAGATGGGCCGGATATCTTATGCGAATTGTGATGAAAGATGGACCAGGGCGACAACTGGATTCCTCAGAACGTCAAACGATTGCTAGGATGGCCACCAGTGCGATGTTCAGACCTCTTCTCGATCCACTGGATCACTCTGGCCGCGATGACGAATGGAGCCGTTGCTAGCGCCCACGTGGAAATCGGTGATCAAAGCCGATGGTACAGGTATCACCAAAAAGATTCATTATCCAATCTTTTGATGAAAAACGCTCTAATAAATGACGACTTATAAGTAGTGAAAAGGGAGTTTGAGCGAGAAAACCCCCATCTTTCGCCTTAGTAGGGGGAGCTCTACCACGACGTCACGGGACTCTTGATGTCATTGGGAACAACTGCTTATTTCAATTGGCACTCCGAACACTGAGCCAAAAAAAAAACTTTGAACACTCGTAACGTTTTTCGGAATCTCATTCAGCAGTTTTGATTACTAGATATGTGAACAGTTCCTATCGATAGAACTGAGTCTCCATTCAAATTTCTATGAGAAGTTAAAAACTGAACCTGAGGTGTTAAGGTTGGCTTTCATCCAGAATGACACATCGGAGAGGTGGGTACATGGCGCGCATGAATCATAGCAATGGTCCGGGGCGCGGGATGTACGGAGATCCTGGACGACTCGATCAAGATTAATGTTAATGCTTACAATATAACATTAATTCCTTTCTTAAAGTAGAAATGGTAAAAATTGCTGCCTTTGTTTATTCAATAACTACATACTTCTAAATGTAGTTATATATCTAGGAACATGAATAGGATACAACACACAAAACGAAGTGCCCTGAATTAGAATTCAACATGATCAAACCTTCAATACATATCAAAATCTTCCATTATTTCATCAGCCAATGCAAGCTCCTCCTCGTCACGTCGCCTTTGCTCTTCTTCCATGGCTTTTTTCCTTGCTAGTTCTGCTGACTCTAACAAGTCAATGTCAACTTCATTAGAAACGGAATTACTCGTGACGGCAGTTATTGCTGAAGCCGATGATGATTTCTGGACGTTGTTCTCGCCACTGGATTTGCCTGAAATACCTAAGTAGAGCAACGACTGCTAACGAAATAGGGCGTTCAAGAGTAAACCATTTTTTACCTTTAAAGGGTGCACGCTCCCGAAAGCCCTGGATGTTTTCATCTCCACTTTCACCACTTTCGGATGGGACATCATCTTCGATATTTTCAGTATGTATGATCTGGATGGAAACTACTTTAAGAAACAAGTGTGGGAGAAAAATTACTTGAGTGAATATTATCAAGCGATAGCCTTACATCATCTTTTTTCCGTCGAGTGGGGGCAAAATCCTCGTCGGTGAGAGGCATACCGAGCCGAGACTTCATCATGTAAACCTTTAGAAAGGTACTGTGAAATTCAAAGCGTCAATCATGAGAAAGAGTAGCGATGAAAGCAAACCTTAACAGGCCGTTTATCGCCCAGTACTTCGCATCTGTTGATAATATCATCGAACTTCAGCTTCGGAAACATGACGTGAGCCCAATGTTCGTACTTCTTCAGCATCAGGGAGAGATTGTCATACTAACGAAAAAGGATATATTCTGAGTAGTTCTTTTTGTGAAGGATGGGACGTACCGGGTCTTTTTTGATATCAGGGTTAAAGTTCTTGAATGAATCTCGAAGGGCCTGAATTCCTTTCGGACCAGTGAGCGTGGGTACGTCCAGTTTTGGTTGTGGTCTAGATTCAAGTTCCGTCTGAACTGTGGAGAGAATAATAGCAACCATCGAAGATACCTACCGCGATATCGTACGCTTTTTCTTGACTTCTTGATTTTCCTTTTCCACGAGGTTATTTAGCACTTGGTCATTTGAAACTCCTGAAAACCTTTTACGACTTTATCTTAGTAATGGATAGAAAAAAAGTTCCCATGTTTGCGCCTTTGATTCGTTTTTCAATGCAGTCTTAAACAATACATGGACTATCATCGAGTGAAGCTCAAAAAACTGGAAATCAAAAAAAAGTTACCAGCATCAACGTCATCCTGCTCGCCATCAGAGTAGTCGTTAACGAAGGGCTCATCGAACTCTTCAGAATCGTCTATCATCTCCCTTAACAGTTTATGTTTCTCTCAATTATATGAATTCTAACTCAGTAAATACAAACAACCGACCACAGTAGAGAGCAGTTCGAACAGCAACATTTCCCGCCTGTTCCTCCACAACTGAATTCTCCATGGTCCACGTTATTGCCCGTGTAATAAATTTTACCAGTCGTGAATCATTGTTGTTTTCTTTTCGTTTTTGAGCTTTTTCATTACTTGCTGTGGTGATTTTATAAATGATTCCGATAGAGAGTTTCTCGGATGCAAAAGAACTTTTTCGTTTCGTTGAGCGGCTTTGTGTAATGGCACTTGTCCTAGAAGTACGAAGTACCCAGTGAAATAACGGGATGTTGTGCACACTAACTATTTTCTCTCATTTTAAAACCGCCACTCACCATTTTGGGGAATTTAGACGTGATTAGACTCTTGGCTTTCAGTATGAAGTTATAGTGTATTAGAGTTTTACAATTTTAACAGCGTCTATTTGGAAGAGGGGCTGCAACAAGGTATTTCATTGTGGTTCACCTTTTATCATGCGCTGCAAAGCAATCTGTAAAGCAATAGCAATACGAGTACAAGAACTTGATAGGCTAGTCCGAGGGGCGTGGTGCAGTAGGAACGAAATTGTCGCGTCGCGGTGAGAGGGACGCCGTGCGCGAAGAAATGTAGCAGAATGCAGCAGCAAGTAAGAAATTCAGGAACAAAAGACTAACAGTAGAATCATGCCAAAAGCAATAATCGCATAACGATTGAGCTGTATGAAGAACGCTAGAACTGTTATAACGAGGCAAATGGTCCGCAACAGCCGCGTGCGGCGGATCGATTACACAAAGTCCTTCCTACTGCCTGTTTCCCTAGTCCGAGCTACATCATCAAGCGACTACGGACGATAGTAACGGGATCCGTGAATCCCCTGTTGCCAGCAAGGGTGCTACTCGGAGAGGGACAGTCGTAATGAAAGTGGCTGAGGGTGCACCTAACAGTGTTAATCAAGAAATTGAAACAACACGTTGTTACGAGTTAACATCGTGTTATACCAAGAACATGCAGGTCTTTACCCAAGCCTTAGTGTGGAGGAGCTCCGGGGTAGGCGAGTTTTTATCTTTTCGCACCAGTTAATCACCCCACCAATCCCGGTGCTCCTACCCTCTTAGGGCCCTTTTAAAAAACTACATCCCCTTGACTAAAACTTGACATAAGAGCGCACATATGGCCGGCACTCCTCCTCCGGCGAACGTCCGTTGCGCGCGTCCGTCGAAAACAGGTCACCCCGCCCACTTCGTGCGCGACGCACCCCACTGAGGTCTCGAGACGACATTACGGTACCATCAAGTAGGAGTGGAGCAAACGATTCGAATTTGCCCTTGTTATCTTCTCATTGGCTGACTGCCGTGGAGCAAGCGCAAACCGTATGCCCCACTGGCAACTGCGACGTCTGTCAAGTATCGCGGGCTGACCCGCTGCATGCGACGGCTGCGGCGTGACCTAGTTTCTATGGACGCGCGCAACGACGCGCACCCCTCCTACTCCTCCTCGTTGCCTACGATTACTGTGCTAGTATAACACACACTAACAGGTAACACCGTGTAAATTTCTTGTTATACTGATGCCCCCCACAGTTACCACTACTACGACTCCAGCTCGTGGGCTTCACTAGGGATACCTTTCTGCTGCGTCGTATATGTGACCGGTTTTTGGAGGCGCTTGAGAATGTGTTCGTATTAATGTGTAACACAATCACAGGACCACTAAATTCGTCTCGTGAGTAGCGGAGTAGTCATCCCTACCATTCCGCATGTTCTACTATACTACAATCACAGGAAAGAGATAAATGCTCTAGTTCTATATAGGGGACTAGGCAAGACACATCAATGGACTACTCACAGCCTCCGCGTAACCCGAAGCCATCCGTGCTGCTTGTATGCAGAACCTTCTTAGCTGACCTCCTACGTAGCGAAGTTTGATGCAGGCAAAACGGACCGTCTTTAACCGATTTACCATCGCCTTCCGGCTCAGGGAGAGCAGTTCTTTTCGAGTACTTCAACAACGGGATGCCCACATAATTCCAAATTTGATTACTTTGCAGCCCCACTCGCTCGCTCGCCCACCTGTGGGGTTATCTCGCTCAACCGGTAAGCTACTTCTTTGCCAAATACAGCTGATTAAATATGAACTCCGTGGATTGTGAGCCTCGTCGTTTAAAAATATGTGAGAAAATGAGAACGAAAAAAGACTGTGTGAACATATACTGAGCTATGCTGTACGAAAGTTGGTAGTTTACCGTTTTTTGCATGAGGTTATCATCTACCCACCCGCGTGCGTCTACCCTCCTCAGGCTTTGGTAAATAAATAATTCCGAGCTGTACCCCCATAAAAGCGCACAGAAGGCCGTTACGCCATTTAGACGGGCAGTAGGAACGGTTTTGGGTAATCGATCCGCCGCACGCGGCTGTCGCGAACCATTTGCCTAGCTATAACAGTTCTAACGTTTTCCAAACAGCTCAATCGCTATGCACTTACTACTTTTAGCATGATTCTACTATTAGTTCTATTGTTCTTATATTTCTTACCTGCTGCTGCATTACTTCGCGCGCGGCGTCTTCTCGCCGCGACGCGACAATTTCGTTCCTACTGCACCACACCCGCTCCACCTTTCCTTCTCTAATACATTGCTGATATGACACTATGCGTGCCCATGGGGAACACTCGCTCCCTTAACACATTTGTAAGTAAACTAGTTAATGAAAAAAGAGCTTTCTCACATTGCCATAATGCTCAGAATTCACTGAAAAGGTTATGTAGTTCTAGGAGCATGTCCTATGATGACATGACTTCGATTTTGTCCTCAGCACCTGTGAGTAATGTGAGTTCTGTGTAACGAGACCAATCGTCTCCACAATACTAGGCAATTTAAAGGTTTATCTTGCTATTTTGAAATTTTAAGTGTATTAATGGTCACAAAGCTCATAATTCGATGTATTGCGATGAGTGGAGTGTGAAGTAATCTAATTTGGAATATGTGGGCATCCCCATTGACAGGGAGCTGGAAACGATGAAGAGGGTGCGAAGAAACTAATTTGGGACCACTTCCCTTTCCCCTCAGGCAACTTCATCGCGGGGAACGTGCGATTCACGCGCGACCTTGCCAGACTTCTTCGCGCACGTCGCACGCGACACACGCGTGCGGCGTGTGATGAGCGACTTCAATGCGGACCCTACCGTGCGCTTCAGTTAGGAGGGATCAAACGAGCTTGGCAAGTCCACAGGTTTACCATGAACTAGTACGGATCTTTTCACCATGGCAATGAATAATAATAAGTTTAATAAAAATATAACAAAAATCAAACTTTTATAACAAAATACTAGCAACATAATGATTGATGTAATAATAATTTTTTAATAATAAATAAAAATGAGTCATAATGGAATATGAGGGATGACGTCGTCTCCAGTGCCCCATCCTTCACTTTAGATAACCTCATTATCTCCGCGCTTGAATTGCACCGCACCTATGCATTGTGTTGCATGGCTTCATCGACCACTCGCCAACTGCCAGTTGGTCGCTTGTGCATGCGAGTCCACGCTGGGAAAGTGATTTTTGTTCCAATGCATTAGACGGGTCTCCTCGCTGCTCCAGTCATTCGCCTGCGTGTTGACCTTGCTTACCAGGCTGACTGTTGGCCTCCTCCGTCAGACTAACACATCTTATATTGATTCTGTAATTTAGAGTTTACGGAGAGAATGTTAAAATCGGAATTGTGATAATTTTAAATGGGCAAGATGTATAAATCGAAGGCGCATTGAAAAAATATTACCATATGGAAAAGACACACTACTTATCCAACTCACCCAACTCGTCTGGTGGTAAGTCCATTGAAAGAAGGTGGCATTCCTCAACAAACTGTCCCTTTTCATGAATAACTGGACTTTTGGCTTTCCTAATAGGGTCGTGGTGTGAAGACTTCATAACTGAGAGAACTTTCTAAGGAAGAGCGAGAATAAGGAATTTCACTGCACTTTCCACTGCACTCGCTGTCTTATAACTGCATGGGGATCTGTGACTAAAGGTAAAGTGAGGGTGGAGATTTATTGGAAGGTGAGTCAGGACTACTTTTTATACGGGATAGGTTCAAAAGGGTGGAGGTGGTGTTGAGGCAAATGGCACACTATCTCACACCTAGGGCCACGGGTTCGAACCCCGCCTCGAGATCCGCCTAGGACTACCGAGCCTTCCATTCCTTCGAGGTCGCTTAATTGGTACCAGACTCGTCTGGGAGGATAAAA